GCTTCTGGGTCATGTGGCCAGCATGACTGAGCCGCTTCTGGCGAACCAGAGCAGCGCACGGAGACACTGTTTACCTTCCCGCTGGAGCGGTACCTATTTATCTACTTGCACTTTGATGTGCTTTCGAACTGCTAGGTTGGCAGGAGCAGGGACTGAGCAACGGGAGCTCACCCTGTCGTGGGGATTTGAACCGCCGACCTTCTGATCGGCAAGACCTAGGCCCTGTGGTTTAACCCACAGTGCAACCCGCGTCCCTAGGGAAGTAATATTCCCACTCTATACTGCCTTGGTCAGACCACACCTGGAATACTGCGTCCAATTCTGGAAGCCACAGTTTAAGAAGGATGTTAAGCTGGAATGTGTGCAGAGGAGGGCAATCAAGATGATCAAGGGTCTGGAAACTGAGCCTTATGAGGAACGGTTGAAGGAGCTGGGTGTGTTTAGCCTGGAAAAGAGGAGACTGAGAGGAGATCTGACAGCCATCTTCAAATATCTTAAGGGCTGTCCCATGGAGGAGGGCGCATGCTTATTGCCTCCTGCTCTGGAGGGTAGAACTCGAACCCATGGCTTCAAAATGCAGGAAAGGGGATTCCGACTAAACATTCGGAAAAACTTTCTAGCAGCAAGAGCTGTTCAGCATTGGAACGGACTCCCACGGGAGGTGGTGGACTCTCCTTCCTTGGAGGTTCCTAAACAGAGCTTGGAGGGCCATCTGTCCTGGAGTCTTTAGCTGAGGTTTCTGCATTCCAGGGGGTTGGACTAGATGACCCTTGGGGTCCCTTTCAACTCTATGCTTTCTGCAATTTAGTTTGCCCCAGCGTTATCTCTGGTCCATCAGCTTTTGCAGGCTTTTGAGGTCCATGATTAACCATAGTTTAGAGGTCCCGGGCCCTAAGGAAATGAGACTATCCTCCACCAGGCCCAGGGCCTTTTCAGTGATGGCTCCGACCTGGTAAAATGCTCTGTCCCATGAGACTAGGGCCCTTCAGGATTTAATCTCCTTCCGTCGGGCCTGTAAAACACAGCTATTCCACCTGGCCTTTAATTTGAATTCAGCCTGATCTTTTATTTCCCTTCTCTTCCCTCCCCCTCCCCTTTTATGAAGATCACCCGCTCTGAGACCCCACAGCTAATTCTCCCCTGGTCTCCTCGCTGGCCCAAGTAGGACCAATTCAGCCAGCTAGCCCTGGGGGTTATCTAATTGATTTTTGAATTTTGGATTTTATTGTTATTCATGTTTTTACACTGTATTTTATGCTGCTTTTATAATTAAGTGTTTTAAAGTGTTTAAAATTTGTTGCTAGCCTCCCTGAGCCCGGTTTTTGAACAGGGAAGGGCGGGGTATAAGTAAAAATGTATTATTATTATTATTATTACAAAACCCTGCAAGATCGGTGAATAAGAGTTTATCCAACCCCCCCCCCCCACAGGGCAACAACATCTCTAACATCTTGTACAACCTCAAAAACACTCTATGCTGTCTCTTTAGTCAGCCATAGCTGCATCTGCTTTCGGGCTCAGCCAAAATGAAGCTTTGTGACAGCCAGGAGATGCTGACACCTGCCGGTAAAATGTTAGAACTGCTGCCATATCTGTGCCACCATCTTTCAAAGGGAGAGGGGTAGAATTGCTCATGAAAGATGGAGAATGGCACCCTCTATTGTCTCTGAATGAAGTTTGTCCATCTTCTTTTTTTACTCACCCTTTCCCCCTCCTGCTCCCTCTTTCCTCAGAAGTCTCTCTCCTTGGTGTCCAACTGTCTAAAGAAGCAATTTTTTGCTCAAGTAATTTTGATGTATGGAAGTGAGAGCTGGACCATAAAGAAGGCTGATTGCCGAAGAATTGATGCTTTTGAATTCTGGTGCTGGAGGGAGACACTTGAGAGTCCCATGGACTGCAGGAAGGTCCAACCTCTCCATTCTGAAGGAAATCAGCCCTGAGTGCTCACTGGAAGGACAGATCCTGAGGCTGAGGCTCCAAGACTTTGGCCACCTCATGAGAAGAGAAGACTCCCTGGAAAAGAGCCTGATGTTGGGAAAGATGGAGGGCACAAGGAGAAGGGGACGACAGAGGAGGAGATGGTTGGACAGTTTTCTCAAAGCTACCAGCATGAGTTTGACCAAACTGCGGGAGGCAGTGGAAGACAGGAGTGCCTGGCGTGCTCTGGTCCATGGGGTCATGAAGAGTCGGACACGACTAAACATCTAAACAACAACAACAATTTTGATGCCTGAGGTGGGGCAGACAACGCCACTGCCTATCCAAGCCGAGGTCCATCAAGTACCCGAGTCCGAAATAATTTTGATACCCGAGGAAAAATATTTCACAAGCACATCTTTCTCTCTCTGTGGCAGCAGGGGGGGAAAGGATGGGGTGGGGCAGAATAATGAGACATTAAATAGCTAACATTCTGCTGCCTTTTTATGACACAAAGAATCAGCTGCCTGAGGGGGCCACTTCACTTTGTCCAATGGTAGGGCTAGACCTGCATTAAAATATTTTAAATATGGGGGAGAATGACTGAAATAGTTATGGGAAGGTGCATGTTTTTGGAACAAAGGCAAATACAGTCCTACCCATAGCTGTCAACTTACAGATTTGAAAATAAGGGATCAGCAGCCAAAATAAGGGATTTTCCAAGCACAGGTATGTTCAACTTCTGAGCCCCTCCGAGCCAAAGGCAGAAAGCCCAGCCAGCAGCCAAATGAAGCCTCAAGCGGTGGTTCCCATAGCGCAGCAACCCGGCAAAGGGGATGCAGCAAGGAAAACCACCGTCACATCTCTGCTGGGAAGCGCTGAGCAAAGGCGAGTCCCCAGGCAACGCGGCCGATTTGATCGGCACAAGGCATGCAAGCTCCACCTCGCAGTCGTTCTTAGACTCCTTATTGGGTGAGCAACGCAGCCAAGCAACACAGTTGGAGCCTCCCTCCTCCCTGGCCGGCAGGGAGGGAAGGAGAGGAGCTGCTTCCTTTGAAACCCAGGAAATTTAAGGGACATCATCAATAAGGGATAGCAGTGGGAAACAGCGCTGGGATAAGGGAGTTTCCCGCCAAATAAGGGACGGTTGACATCTATGGTCCTACCTTGGATCTTAAACGCCTTGGCTCCTGCACAAATTGGCTCCCGAACGCCGCAAACCCAGAAGTGAGTGTTCCGGTTTCTGAACAATTTTCAGAAGCCAAACGTCCGGCGTGGCTTCCAATTGGCTGCAGGACGCTCCTGCAGCCAGTCAGAAGTCGCGTTTTGGTTTCTGAACTTTTTGGAAGTCGAACGGACTTCTGGAACGGATTCTGTTTGACTTCCGAGGTACAACTGTATAGAATCCAGGAGAACATAATATGAATTGAAATACCAATCCAGAATGTCAAAGGAGTAGCAAGCAAAATAAAACCTTTAATCAGCATTTGTATATAGGTATCTGTATAAGACAGGAAGTGAATGATTTTATATTATTGGGTCTTGAATTCTATATAATTGGTTGTTTTTGCTGATACAGAAAAATATTCATTATCATCATCATCATTATTACCAAAACTGTGGTTGAATATGACTTGTTATTCTTAGCCAATAATTTACAGCACTGAAGCAAAATCTGGAAAAACAGAATTTAAACATCACATTTTTAAACAGTTCATTCCAAGGTAAACCTTTCTCGAAGTTGTGCTAAACATTTCTACATCCTTCCCATTTGTTTTTGCTTTAAGTCACTCAAGTGGGGGGAAATGGCAGTTTTTTCCATCCTTATTCCTCTCCTGGCTTTCAAGCTGCCACAAATCAAAATCCCGCTAGCAGGAATGTACATAGAGCGGGGATTCCCAAACTGTGGCACACGAGTTTCATCCAGGTGGTCTACAGCAGTGTTCCCCCACCTTGGGCCTCCAGCTGTTTTTGGACTACAATTCCCATCATCCTCGACAACTGGTCTTGCTAGCGAGGGATGATGGGAGTTGTAGTCCACAAACAGCTGGAGGCCCAAGGTTGGGGAACACTGGTCTACAGCATGCCCGTGTTAAATATTCATATTGATTCTTAATTGGGGGTTTTATTGTTTCTTTTACAGTGGTACCTCGCAAGACGAATGCCTCGCAAGACAAAAAAACTCACTAGACGAAAGGGTTTTTTGAGCTGCTTCGCAAGACGATTTTCCCTATGGGCTTGCTTCGCAAGACGGAAACGTCTTGCAAGTTTGTTTCCTTTTTCTTAACACCGTTAATACAGTTGCGACTTGACTTCGAGGAGCAACTCATAGAACGCGGTGTGGTAGCCTTTTTTGAGGTTTTTAAAGACTTTGGTGATTTTTGAAGCTTTTCCAAAACTTTCCCGACACCGTGCTTCGCAAGACGGAAAAAATCGCAAGACGACAAAACTCGCGGAACGAATTAATTTCGTCTTGCGAGGCACCACTGTATTTCTTTCATTTTCCCGCATTACGTCTTGAATTCTATGGGATGCAAATCTAGCCCAACACATTACAATTGCTACCAACAGACAGACAAATCATTAGGTGACCCACCAAAAGAATTAGCCATTTTCAAGCAGTCAGTGGAGGGGCCAGGAAGTTGAGGAATTACTGTAGGTTCAAGGATGACGGCACTTACTCCAAGACTATACAGTGGTACCTCGGGTTGCGAACTTAATTCAATTCGTTCCGGAGGTCCGTTCTTAACCCGAAACCATTCTTAACCTGAGGCGCACTTTCACTAATGGGGCCTCCTGCTGCCGCCAAGCCGCCACCACACAATTTCTTTTCTCATCCTGAGGCAAAGTTCTTAACCCGAGGTACTACTTCTGGGTTAGCAGCGTTTGTAACCCGAAGCGTTTGTAACCCAAGGTACTACTGTACACATATCTTTTAAATTCTCCCCCCCCCCTCTGTTTTTGTATTTTTTCTTTTATTTTGTATTTTTTCTTTTATTTTGTATTTTTCTTTTATTCTTTTTCTCTTTTGTCTGTAACTTTCAAAAATGCAGACTATACACGTATGGAAGCATAAAAAAAGACTATACACGTATGGAAGCATATGTGACCTTTTCGCTTTGACGCTTGGATTTCCCCACCTTCTTCACGACGACCTCTGAATAATTCAGATCTGCCGTTGACTCTGCCTTCTTGTCCTACGGAAAGAGGTCAAGGAATCAGTGTCATCGTTTGTGAGATTCCCCAGATGTTTCCTGAACACTAGTACAGCCACAACATCAGCCATTAGGCCTCTAGCAAGTTACCGCTCCTTCGGATCAACCTTACTACAATCACTGCAATTCCAGTCAAACCTTGGTTGTCGAACGTAATCCGTTCCAGGGGACTGTTCGACTTCCGAAACGTTCGACAACCAAGGATCAAAGGGCGGTTGGCAAAGTCAGTGGAGAGAAAAGAAGAAAAAACTCCCCGGAAGCTGTTCAGCTTCTGAAAATTGTTCGAAAACCAAAGCAGCTATTTCTGGGTTTTTGGCGTTCGGCAGCCAAAATGTTCCAAAGGGAGGCATTTGGCAGCGGAGGTTTCACTGTACAGTGGTACCTCGGGTTAAGTACTTAATTTGTTACTTAACCTGAAACTGTTCTTAACCTGAAGCACCACTTTAGCTAATGGGGCCTCCTGCTGCTGCCGCGCCACCGGAGCACGATTTCTGTTCTCATCCTGAAGCAAAGTTCTTAACCTGAAGCACTATTTCTGGGTTAGCAGAGTCTGTAACCTGAAGCGTATGCAACCTGAAGCGTATGTAACCCGAGGTACCACTGTATTGTTTTTTCCAGGGATGCGGGGAGTAATAATGCACCCGTTCAGGGGTGGCAGAGAAATTTGGTTCTCATTTCATTGCCAACATACCTAATTCTCACTTCCTAAAACAATACGCAAAACCAAAAGATAGCTGTTCTTCTAAATTCGCTTTTCTCTGAATTTTGCAGTGCAGGTCTCCAGCCCAAAGATAGCCTGGATAGGTCAGTTGGTTAGGTACTGATAATGCCAAGGTTGCAGGCTTGAACCCCATATGAGGCGGCTGCATATTTGGGTTGGACTAGATGATCCTATGGGGTCCCTTCCAACTCTACGATTCTATGTATTGAACAATGAGCACATCTGGGCGAAGTGTGTCTTAAACCAAGTGCCTTAGGGGAAGTGGCGTACAAAAATGCACTACACTGGGGGAGACCGCTTGCAAAAAAAAAATGGATATACAGTGGTAAGGTAAAGGTAAAGGGACCCCTGACCATTAGGTCCAGTCGTGCCTGACTCTGGGGTTGCGGCGCTCATCTTGCTTTATTGGCTGAGGGAGCCGGCGTACAGCTTCTAGGTCATGTGGCCAGCATGACTAAGTCACTTCTGGCGAACCAGAGCAGTGCACGTAAGCACCGTTTACCTTCCCGACAGAGCGCTACCTATTTATCTACTTGCACTTTGATGTGCTTTTGAACTGCTAGGTGGGCAGGAGCAGGGACCGAGCAATGGGAGCTCACCCCATCGCGGGGATTCGAACTGCCGACCTTCTGATCAGCAAGTCCTAGGCTCTGTTGTTTAACCCACAGCGCCACCCACGTCCCTTACAGTGGTACCTCGGGTTAAGTACTTAATTCGTTCCGGAGGTCTGTTCTTAACCCAAAACTATTCTTAACCTGAGGTACCACTTTAGCTAATGGGGCCTCCCGCTGCCGCCACACTGCTGGCGCACGATTTCTGTTCTCATCCTGAGGTAAAGTTCTTAACCCGAGGTACCATTTCTGGGTTAGCGGAGTCTGTAACCTGAAGTGTCTGTAGCCCGAGGTACCATTGTATTTTCTCAATGGATCCGTAGACTCAAAAAGGTTGAAAACCTCTGGGCTAGAGACTACATCAGGTCTGCCTCACCTCTCCAACCTCCTCCCAGTTTCCAAACTTGCCCGTCTAGTATTATCTATGCTAGCTAACAATGTTTCAAGCAGAAGCCAGTCTGCAGATCATAGCTGTCAACTTTCAGATTTGAAAATAAGGGATCAGCAGCCTTGAAAATAAGGGATCGGCAGCCTCACCTGTCCCAGGGACAGTCTACGGGATATATAACAATCCAGGATAGCAGCAGGAAGCAGCAGGAAACAGCACTGGAATGAGGGAATTTCCCGCAAAAAAAGGGAAGGTCGACAGCTATGCTGCAGATATTGGGTATCAGACCTGAGACCTTTGCATGCCATGAAGTATCTGCGACTGAACTGCAGCCCTTCTGCATCGCCTCCCAACCATATCCAGCTTGGAGCCAGGTTTCTGAGCGCTACACTTGCAAGCCTGACTCTGTTTGTAAGCTCGGGGCTTACCTGACTCAGGCGTTTAGTCCCGGATCCTCTTGCTTGGTGGCGACCTGCAAATTCAGTTTCGTAAAATGTAGCGAGCGAGATGCAATCCGAACAAATTTTCCTCTAAATATAACCCATAGGAGGCCTATCTTTGGTTCCCGTCTCTTTGCTACGCTATAGCAGCTTTCACCAAGCTGGTGCCCTCCAGGTGTTTGGGACGTCAACATAATATCATTTCCTGAATAACAATTTATTTAACTAAAACAATAACATTATAGCATATGTATCCATGTTCGTTAACTTGATGTGGTTAAATGGTTTTTTATTTTTTAAAAAACCAGAGTTTTAGCACACATGAAAAACTTAAAACAAATCCTTATTTCCTGATGAATAGCCTTTGGACTACAATGTAACTTAAACAGAAAACTATCTTTAGAAAGATTTTTTCTCCAAAAGCATTTTATTTTAAAAATCTGATTTAAATAAAAAAAATCTGATTTAAATTTTAAAAAAATCGGATTTAAATTTTTTAAAAATCCATTTTTTAAAAAAAAATCATTGATTTTTATCCACCCTGCCTTCAACCCCCCGGTCTGTCAAATGCTCATCTCTGGTTTAGAGACATGCTCCAGTCACCAGGCTCACCTTTTCTGTTCCTACAGTAGAGCACTATCAGAGGAGAAACTACAAAAACCGCCAGGGCTGAGCTGAGGCCTGCCCAAAGCGCTATGGAATGTGTGCTATTTTCATCAGGTTTCTTAGGATCTCCTAGGAGAGAGAATAAATGGGGTATTACATCATCAAACTTCAGAATCAAGGTAACAAAATGTTATAAGGCACACTCACCCACATATGTACACAGTGCCGCAATACAGGAAGACATTGTGAGAAAATTTCAGATTAAATTCAACAGATCCTGCTGGATTGCTGTTGCGGTTTCTATTCTTTCTTTTTAACTTTAGATGTTCCTCTGGGAATTTTTATACACTAGCACAGAGGATCTCTTTCCTCATTGCCGCCAACAAGAAAACACAGTCTTGTCCTTTGGCCTTGCATGGGGTTTTTCCCTCTCAGACAGAACAACCAACTGTCTATTTCTCATGTAGCACACGTTATCACACCCTGAGAATGGCCTTTCCCCTTAGCAGTTAGAATATTTGGGAACATTCAGCAACATCACTGCTGCCCATCCAATCTAGAGGAGAACCTCAAAGCAGCAGCCGGTCCTTAGAAATTACAACTAACCCAGAATGCAGCAGCCAGACTAATGACTGGGAGTGGCCATTGAGACCACATAACACCGGTCTTGAAAAACCTACATTGGCTCCTAGTATGTTTCCGAGCACAATTCAAAGTGTTGGTGCTGACCTTTAAAGCCCTAAACGGCCTCGGCCCAGTATACCTGAAGGAGCGTCTCCACCCCCATCGTTCAGCCCGGACACTGAGGGCCAGTGGCGTAGCGTGGGTTGTCAGCACCCGGGGCAAGGCAAGTAATTTGCGCCCCCTAACCCGTGGATTTGCGCCTCCTAACCTGTGGATTTGCCCTAACCCCAGATGTTGCGGCCGGTGCGGCCGGCCCCCCCCCTGACCCCCCACGCTACGCCACTGCTGAGGGCTGCCTTCAGATGTCTTCTAAAAGTCTGGTAGTTGTTTTTCTCTTTGACATCTGATGGGAGGTCGTTCCACAAGGCGGGGGCCACTACCCAGAAGGCCCTCTGCCTGGTTCCCTGTAAACCTCACTTCTCGCAGTGAGGGAACCGCCAGAAGGCCCTCGGAGCTGGACCTCAGTGTCCGGGCAGAACGATGACCGGTGTTATATGGTCTCGGGGGCCGCTCCCAGTCTAGCTGCCATATTCTGGATTAGTTGTAGTTTCCAGGTCACCTTCAAAGGTAGCTCCACATAGAACGCATTGCAGTAGTCCAAGCGAGAGATAACCAGAGCATGCACCATATTTGGAGATGGCTCTCATTTCTCCTCCCAGTCTCCTCTTACACAGGCTAAACATACACATCTCCCTCACCCATTCCTCAAATATATCAATTCTTCACCCCCCAACTTACTGTCCACACAGAAAATCCAGAAGTACTACACCCCAGCACTTTCTACACAAGCAGCTTCAAGCGACAGGGAAGGCCTGTAGCTGAGTAGTAGAGCAGCTGCATCTTTCCTGAAACCCTGCAGAGCTGTGCTAGTCACTGTAGATTACAGTACAGTGGTACCTCAGGTTAAGTACTTAATTCGTTCCGGAGGTCCGTTCTTAACCTGAAACTGTTCTTAACCTGAAGCACCACTTTAGCTCATGGGGCCTCCTGCTGCTGCCGCGCCGCCGGAGCCCGATTTCTGTTCTTCTCCTGAAGCAAAGTTCTTAACCTGAAGCACTATTTCTGGGTTAGCGGAGTCTGTAACCTGAAGTGTATGTAACCTGAAGCGTATGTAACCCGAGGTACCACTGTAAACTGATAATGAGCTAGATGGACTATCTCAGTAGAAGGCAACTTCCTATGTTAAAACCAGCAACATCTGCGTCTAGCCCACCCCTTTCCCAATGAACCCATCCCAGTTCCTTCCTTCCTTCTGACCAACTACAGTGGTACCTCGGGTTAAGAACTTAATTCGTTCCGGAGGTCCGTTCTTCACCTGAAACTGTTCTTAACCTGAGGTACCACTGTAGCTAATGGGGCCTGCCGCTGCGCGGTTTCTGTTCTCATCCTGAGGTAAAGTTCTTAACCCGAGGTACTATTTCTGGGCTAGCGGAGTCTGTAACCTGAAGCGTATGTAACCTGAGGTACCACTGTACATTCCTTCCACAGAACCCAAGCTCTTTACCTTTCGCAGCTTTAAGCACGCGAAGCTCAGTCCCGTTCCCCGACGTCTCCTGGAATCCGGGGATCTTCACCACGCATCGATACACCCCCGAGTCGTAATGTCTCAGATCCCGTATCTCTATGTCGGCTCTTCTTTCCAATAGGAAGGCCTGCTCCGAGGTGGGACTCACCCTTCCCATGAATTCCCGGGTGGTCTTTCTGACCTCCACCCCTGGCTCCTTCACCCACCGGAAGCTCCCAACCTTGGGCTCTGAGGTGGAGTTGTAGGAACAGGTCAAGGTGACGGAACCGCCTTCCGCGCCTTCTGCTGAGCTGGGCTGGGAGACCATGAGGGGTTCTTGAGCCTGGGAAGCTGGGACAGTGGAAATGGGATGGGGGTGAGAGAGAAGGAAAAGCAGGAGTCCCAGTTGTTCCTAGTGCATGGTCTTGACCAGTTCTCCCAGCCTAACCTCCCAGCGTAGCTAAACTGTACAGTCTTAATGGTCCCTGAATAAGGCACCTGTGTTCACACACAACTTATTTCCAACATGGTCAAGAGGAGGAAATAAAACTCATGTGGCTATCATTTCAGTTGCATTAGACCACAGCAGGAATGAGGGAGAAATTCAATTCAACTCCTCCCCCTCTGTGTTCTGGAGGTGCATCCCCCTCAGTTCTTGGAAACCATATTTGGTGCTCTCAGAGTTAACGCTGCTGCTCATTTGTCCAGCGTGACAAGCACATTCCGCACCTGCAGAAACAGCTATACAGTTGCACTTGTTTGTGTTGGGACACACAATAGTCACAATTCATCGCAATATCAATTACAGTGGTACCTCAGGTTAAGTACTTAATTCGTTCCGGAGGTCCGTACTTAACCTGAAACTGTTCTTAACCTGAAGCACCACTTTAGCTAATGGGGCCTCCTGCTGCCGCCGCGCCACCGGAGCACGATTTCTGTTCTTATCCTGAAGCAAAGTTCTTAACCTGAAGCACTATTTCTGGGTTAGCGGAGTCTGTAACCTGAAGCGTATGTAACCTGAAGCGTATGTAACCCAAGGTACCACTGTAATGTAATGTTTCAAATATTTTGTGAATCACTGAAGTCTGGTGAACCGTTGAAGCCTGGTGGTTAAATCTGACAAAGTATTACCTGTGGAAGTTTGCACCACAATAAATTTACGGGTCTTTAAACTGCCACAGGACACAACTTCATAAGCCTTGCTACAAGTGCTTAACCAAAAAAATCTGGTTTGGATTTGAAATATGTTATTAGAATCATGTAAGTGATAATCTGAAGGCAGCCCTGTTCAGGGAAGTTTTTAATGTCTGGTGTTTTATTGTATTTTTAATATTTTGTTGGAAGTTGCCTAGAGTAGCTGGGGAAACCCAGTCAGATGGGCGAGGTATAAATAAATAAATAAATAAATAAATAAATAAATAAATAAATAAATAAATATTATTATTATTATTATTATTATTATTATTATTAATTGTGGTTGCGTTTTTACAAGAAACTGCCCTCTTCTATACGGCTATTAACAGAACAAGAGCTCTGTCCTCCCTCTCTCTTGGGCACCCTAACACCGGGGGAGCCTTGGAGCAGTCAGCAGAGACCAGGAAAATGCACATGTCCAAGAAGATGGAACATGAAATAGTCACTCCTTACCTGCCCAGAGGATGAAGCAGAAGACCTCCAGAGGCATCATCGACACGAAGCAGTGAGGAATCGGTTTGAACAGCAACAGGGGCCAGCGCAAAACCGAGTGCACATAGTGTGCACACTTCCACCAGTAGCTTCCGGAGAAGGCAAGCGCACGGTGGAAAATGTGGTCTGGTGGCCGGAAAGTAGAGGTGCTGCCCGTCCACAGGAAAACACAGCTCACATTTTCCATTCCGGGAGCCACTGCAGCAGGCGATCAATCCATCCCCCAAACCTTTCCAGCCCATCCATTGTCCCCCAAAGCTGTCCAGCTTTTTCTGTAGCTTGCAACCATAGCTCAGCGAACATGTTCTGTATGTACAACGTACCACATCTGATCCCTGGACTCTCCAGTTAAACTAGAGGCGGGGAACGTGTTCCCCTCCAGAAGTTGTTGTTGTATAACTGTAATCCTCCCTGAACACTGAACCATGCTCTCTGAGCCAAGGCTCTCCTGGAGAGCTGGGGCTGATTGGAATTGACACTCAAACAAGATCTGGAAAAGCCACGGGTTCACTAGCTCTTGAGTTAAAATGTCTCTAATAGTAGGGACGCGGGTGGCGCTGTGGTCTAAACCACTGAGCCTAGGGCTTGCCGATCAGAAGGTCGACGGCTCAAATCCCCGTGACGGGGTGAGCTCCCGTTGCTCGGTCCCTGCTCCCGCTAACCTAGCAGTTTGAAAGCACGTCAAAGTGCAAGTAGATAAATAGGTACCACTCCAGCGGGGAGGTAAATGGCGTTTCCATGCGCTGCTTTGGTTCGCCAGAAGCGGCTTAGTCATGCTGGCCACACGACCCGGAAGCTGTATGCCGGCTCCCTCGGCCAATAAAGTGAGATGAGCGCCACAACCCCAGAGTCGGCCACGACTGGACCTAATGGTCAGAGATCCCTTTACCTTAATAGTAGGGGGTGGGCAAATAAGTCCGTTTTGATTTCCGCTCCATTTATCCTTTCTCCAGTCTTCAATTCGGTTTTCCGCATCTCTACATCGGCTTGCATTTCGAAGCCCTCGTGCTTGAAGCCCTCGTGAAAAGTTGGCCTTTAAATGGCAAAGTGAATTGAAATATTCTTCTCCAGCCCTGGGAAAGGTGCTCTGCCCAAGACTTTGGGGGCGATTTGCAAGTCAGATTACAGTCACTGAGCTATAACGTTAGAGTGTCCCTCTAGAACCAGGGAGACCTTGGCTCAAATCTCCAGTCAGCTGTTGGTGGGGTTTCCTGGAGCTTGTCAACATCTTTCAGTCGCCTGGCATTCCTTCACAGAGTTGTTGTGATAATAAAAAGAGAGCAATGTTTGTATCAACAATTTGAATGTTTTGTTTTATACTTTTATAAACCTCTTAGAGGTTTTTAACAATCAAGAGTAGTGCTTTTTTTCTTTAAAAAAATGTTTAGGAGTACTCTCATTTTCCTACTCATATTGAAATACTGCCCCTCAATGAGACCAAACTTATATTCACAAAATGTTTAGGGGTATGCGTCCCCCCCAGGAAAAAAGCACTGATCAAGAGACGTAAAAATCTTCTTAAAGAAAAATAATTGAATGAATTAAATTAACCATGCTGATTTTTTTTATTTATCCTGAGTCCTCCACACATGTCCTCGCCAGTATTTTGGGACAATCAGCAACCATAATCTTCTCTCTTTTTTCCCCTGTGACTTTATGAATCCGCTAAGCACAGTTTCAGGTGTTATTCAAGTACGGTACAATTCTCTCAAGAACTCCTCTGCAGCAAACTGACTCAAATCCCTCTATAAACAGGCACAGATTTCCTCCCCCTTCTTCTTTTTGCAATTTTCCTTGGGGAGGGAACAGTTTGCTGGCATTGCACAAGCTCCCAACTGGGGGGGGAAATAACGTCATCTCCTCAGATTCTCTCTCTGTTCCACAGCTGTAGCTCTGGAAGTTCAGAAAGTCCAGCCCTCCTTAGCAGAGGTTGGATTTGTGAGCAAGGACCGATGCGTTTCCTCAGCATCCTTCTTCCAGGGTCTTGTTCTTTGCCGGAGATGCTGGTTTTGTAATAACGTACAGCACGCTGCATCCACATCTGGAGCTGGGAGATTCCACGACTTCACCACTGGGTTCAGCAAAGCGATTCTTATCTCCAGTGGTGGCTTTCTGGTTCTGATCTATTTCCCTCCCAATTGCAGATACTGAGTCCCTCCTGTGTCACCCTCACAGCCTGCCCTTCTTTGGATTCACAAGTGCTTTTTCAATTCCACAACCCCACCTTCCCAGAAGTGTGTGTGTGTTTGCTTGTTTGTTTGAGAGAGGCTCGTAAGTGCAGGGTCCGTGAGTCGCAACAGAGCAAACCGCAGGACTGAGAGAGACAGGAAAGGGCCCTGCCACCTTCCAGACCACAAACAATGGCTCTTCGCGTCCACCCGAGCAACTCTGAGGAGGAGTTTTGCGGTGGCCGCTTTGATGCTAAGAGGCAACAGGCCTCTTGCACGGACGGTCACGTCTCTCTCTAGCAGCGCCATCGAGACTAAACTCTCCCCTGGCAAGCTACTGCCGCTTCTGTTTCCTTCCAAACCACAACGCTCGCACTTCTTTTCCTGCCCTCGCTTTTCAACTTGCAGATTTCCTCGTGAGGCCCCATCAATTGTGTGAAATTGGATTGCGGGCCCGACTTTACCAGCCACTTTCTTTTGTTCTAGAAGTACCTTGAGTGGATTCCTGACCAAATATTCACTTCCTTGTTTATTTATTGCTTAACTAAAGACCCGCTCTTAAAACGTCGACAGCTTGTCTTCCTGCTTCTGTGTACATTACAAACCTGCAGTTATGGGCTTGATTGATTGAGGTAGCTGATGGACTCCTTCATTTTTTATTTAAAAAAAAATAGGGCACACCCGTTGAAATTAATGGGGGAAATAGGCTGGACCTCACTGGAGATAACCCTTTTTATTGCTGCAATGAAACAGGTGCATTGTTCAGAAATGAGCATTTTCATTGTTCATAATGAGAAGCTGGGGTTTCTCAAGAAGCTCATGTGTTACTAGCAAGCTTGCCAAAATGTCTGGAACAAAAACAACAAAGGGGCAGTATTTTCCGATGAATTTTAGGTCACATTTTCAGATGAATTTTAGGTCACATTCGTGCTGTGCTTTTAAAGCACTCTTTTATGACTTTGGCAGTTATGGCTTTCCCCCACCCCACCCCCACCCCACCCCAAGAACCCGGGGCACTATAATTTGTTTAGGGTGCTGGGAGTTGTTAGGAGACGCTTCACAGAGCTACAATTCTGTGGCTGTTGTGACTGCAACAGCAGAGATCATACAACATGCAGCTTAAGTGTTAATTCTGTTCATGATCATTTGTTAAGGTAAAGGGTAAAGGGACCCCTGACCATTGGGTCCAGTCGTGACCAACTCTGGGGTTGTGGCGCTCATCTCGCTTTATTGGCCAAGGGAGCCAGCGTACAGCTTTCCGGGTCATGTGGCCAGCATGACTAAGCCGCTTCTGGCGAACCAGAGCAGCGCACGGAAACGCCGTTTACCTTCCCGCTGGAGCGGTACCTATTTATCTACTTGCACTTTGATGTGCTTTTGAACTGCTAGGTGGGCAGGAGCAGGGACCGAGCAACGGAAGCTCACCCCGTCGCAGGGATTCGAACCGCCAACCTTCTGATCAGCAAGTCCTAGGCTCTGTTGTTTAACCCACAGCGCCACCCACGTCCCTTTTTGTTAAGGTACCACATGCTCTGATTGAATGCATAATTCTGATGGATTTTTCCTTCTATGTTTTAGTTCAGTGTTTCCAAAACTTGTAGCTTGAGGACTACAATTCCCATCATCCCTGACCCTGCTAGCTAGGATGGTTTCCAACGGTCTTGCTAGCTTAGGGATGATGGGAGTTGTAGTCCAAAAGAGCTGGACTCAAGTTTGGGGAAACATGGGTATTAGTTGAATGGTCCACCGCTTTGTACAAGGCTGACATAATATCAGAATTGCAGAGTTGGAAGGGGACCCGAGGGTCCAACCCCCAGGAATCTTTTGCCCAAAGTGGGGCTCGACCCCCAACCCCAAGAGTCTCAAGTTATACACTGTTTTATTCACTTTCCTCAGTAAAATGTTATCGAGACTTTTCTACCTGGACTCTGACTGTGTTGCTCAAGTGACTTTGCTAACAATGGCTGATGGGAATTGCCGTCTAAAATATCTGGAGAGCACCAGGTTGGGGAACGCTGCTCTGCCTAGTGTGGCAAAGAAATGGAACAGTCAGTGGGATTATCTAGGGGGGAAACTGGTTCGGAGAGATAATCATACTGAAGCTTTGCACAGCAATCTGAGGGCAATTTAGGGGATTAAAGCTGCTTATATCCAGGAAGCAGAACAATAAAATGACAGTTAAATACCAAATACAAAGAAGTGAGAGGACATCCATGCACACAATGAAAGGGTAGAAAAGGGAGGAGCGTTGTTAAATAAATCATATTTATGAAATAATACAGAAAAACAAAGAGAAAACACTGAACAGATACGTGCTCATCAAGCAGAAAAGGGAAACAAAAAATTACGAACACAGCAGCGTCACAGTTTATTGAGAGTTTTGCTGAAGGACATAATATGCCTTCGAATGTGTGTATGTGTGGTAAAGATCTTTCAGAGTGTCAGTCCCATCAACAATTTTGTTCTGGGCCATTTCATCTGTCTGTCAGAATCTTGCTTAGCTAAACTGACATTTCAGTGGTAATGGGTTGCATAACGTGCTGCCATGACCAAAAGTTAGCATTTAAAGTACTTCAGTTATGCTTTTCGAAACAATACAAGAACTGAAACACAGCCGTCTTTCAAAATTCGCACTTCTCTGAAGTTTGAAATGCAGTCCTCCGGCCTAGTAATGGGTACCAAAATGCCGCAGTTTCTTTAAATTTGTGCATACCAGTGAAACTAAATGGCGAAAGTATATTACGTTAGGGGAAACTGCTCCTCAAAAATGTCTATATTAAGCAAAGCTGAGTTTCAAAGATGCATGGAGTACAAAAATGCCGATGAATTTTCA